TACCGATTGTACTGAAGTTTTGCTCTCAAAATATGCACGTAAGAAAATGCATGCTGCATAAGATACCTTACTAGCATCACTAAAACAATGTAGAGAGATAGAGCAGTCATCGAAGGGTCCAATCACAAGTCTTCTTGAAATTTTACAATAATTCAAGAAGTGTAGTCTTTTGAGCCAAGTCTGAAATTCTCTTTCTATACCTTCCTCGTGACAGCCTTTAATAATACCATCATATTCTTCGAAAAATCCCATCTTCTGCAGTCTTCGTGTATTGGCGAAAAGTATTTTTTCTTTTTTTTTTTTTTTTTTTTTTTTTTTTTTTTTTTTTTTTTTCCGCTTTATCTTAATTATCTTCAAGAATCTTCAAGATTCGATGACTATCCTTCCAAGGCAAACAGACTTCATACCTATTGCCCTCCCTCGATTACTTTAATGTTCTCTAGTACAAATTTGATCGTTTCATTGTCTTGTCTAAATTCTCCTTTAGTCTTCACTTCCGCCGGATCTTTTATGCCAATTGTCTCTAAATTCCATAGTTCTGTGAGATCCAAATAACAAAGTCCGACGGTACCAAGCAAGGTATTATGACTTTGCACTGGGCCTTGTAGGGTCCAACCCAATTTTGTTTCAATGGCAATAAGGTTTTTCTCAATTCGAATGATATTATTCGTCATCAACTGTCCGGAATAGTCGGCTCCTATTAACAATCCTATATCTGGTATATCTCTTCCAGAATCACTGATTTTGATTTTATGTTCTCGAAGTGAGGAGCATATGTGTTTGAGTTTTACTCTAGGAATGTATCCACAAATTTTGTCTTTGTCTAAATCCGATAATTCGTATTTGAATTTATTTTCCGTTCCTTGTATTTAGATATCAAAAATACCATGGACCTGAGATTCAGTTTCAACTCCACTTTTCAAATTGTGACTCAAAGTCTCTTGATCTAATGGGACTAAATCTAGTCTCTTTATTATGTCTTTCCGTAAGTAAGATCTTTGTGACCCACTGTCAAAAAGAGTTCTCACAAGCTCCTTTTTTCCATTATGGACAATCTTCACCATAATAGTTTGGAGAGAAGTTGTTTGCAGTTTTTGGTTAGACAGTAAAGTCTCACTTGTTTCGTTAGCTGCTTTAGGTGCTTCCTTTTTTAAACTTTTAGAACCTTTTAGTTCTCTGCACATCACAGTTACATGACGTTTGTTGCAAACTAGGCATTTCACAGAACTTTTACAATTTTCGGCAGCATGCCCAAATTTTAGGCAATTAAAACAAGCTTTTTTCTTTCTTAGTAAATTTTTCTTACCTTCCAATGAAAGGCTGTGCAGCTTAAAGCGCTCATAAGAATTATGTGTTTCCCTGTCACACCAAACACAAAAATTAAGCTGTTTCTCCTTTGAATCACTTGCATAAATACAAGCTGCTGTGGCTGGAACCGAGTCCAATTTGTCTGGGGCAGAAAAACTTGTACGGGCCAACTGAAGACGCTCTTCACATTCAATTTCAATTCGGAGAAAATGCAATAAATTTTCCAAATTTTCAGTGTGTGCCACACTTTCCCTACGCTGGCGAGATCGCTCCCATGCCCTCAGAATTTCTTCAGGTAGTGAAGACTCTACAAGGGGATACAGCATAGTTGCATAAATCTCACTTTTTACCCCCAACGTCTCCAAATTTCTGAGTTGCGTCTCTAACTTATCATATAAGGTTGGATAGAGTCATATTTACTTTTTTTTTGCTAGCTTGAGCCAAAACTGGACTTTAATAATTCGCGAACATAGATTTCTTACGAGTAATTCGTCTCATGCAAATCGAGATTTTAGCTGCTTGATAGCTTCTTTATAATTCGCGCTTGAGGGAGGATAACTATCTATGAGCTTCTCTCGCTGGAGATCCAACGACAGTTGCCTGCAATAGGTATTGAAATTTGTCATCGTCATCTATATTTACATCTTCGTCGATCTTAACTGTCCCCAAAATCCTAACCAATTTCGGGTCTCGCCACTGAATTTTTGAAGCTCCAACTTTGGTAATTTAAAGTTGGTTTTCGTGGATTTTTCTAAAATTCCAGGTGTAATTACAGGAGTAGAATTCACCATTTTGTTTTCTGCCTTTGTTTTTAAACTGATATATTTATCACGATATGTTTCATTCGTGTCAAAATCAGCCAAATATTCACTTTCGTTTTCACTTTTCCAATAAAAGTTTCGGAAATTTGTGACTTGAACTTCATCTAATCTGTTTAATTTTCCCTTCCAACTGTAAGCTCAATACTTGGAGTTGAATTAACTTCTACCTCATGTCAGGCTTTAGAATTTCAGCATCTAAAGCATTGGCAGTTAATCGTAAACGATTGCCTTAGTGGCTTTACGCTTTTTTAATAAAAATTTCCATGATTTTAATTTCAATATGTCCAATATATTCAAATAATAAAGGATATAATCAAATAAAATCATAAACTCACTTGATAAATTCCAATACGAAATCGATGTTTCGTTTTCAACCGTTGTTTCGTTTTCTTCAAATAGCCATTCCGTCCTGTCACGGACGCCAGTTGTTTGAAATTAGATCAATTTCTTTACTTATTTAATAACTTCGGACGAATGGTAATATATTTAGCAGAGAAAACCTTTTTAATTAACAACGGACTATTTTATTTAGCATTCTAAACATATAAAAAAGAATAACATCCTATGCGTTATCACGCTCAAAGTAATATGTAAACAACATCACTGTTGCCACAAAAAATCTACATTATAATGAACATATTAAATTATTGTGTATTAACTGAGTTCGTGCACGTTCCTGAACAGCAACCTTGGCTGACATTCTGCCAAAATACTGTTATGTTTTTCGTTACGTACATACGGGGTTGTGGATTTGGAGTAAATAACGACGGCACTTGATGAAGTATCCAAACACAATTTATTATCCAGTATTATTCAAGACAGCTCCAATAACACTGTTCCGGTGCACAACAGAACAACTCAACCTGACTCTTTCGCTTTTGGAGCTATGCCAAAGAACATTAGTTCAGTTGAAAAGTCGTTTTCAGATGATCATATATGCAAGGCAGCTGGAATGCTGTCTATTTTTCACTAATTTTGTTCTGTTCTGGCATTTACAAGTTCTCGCATTTTCTTGTTTATACTTATATATTTTGCAATTATTTAATATACGTTTTGTGTTTTAAAAAGAGGATGTGTATCCAATCCATTCACATTAAATCGCAACATTAATTTTTGGAGGCACCGGCGAGATTAAAGGAATTTTGATTTCGTTTCGTCAGCATTGCAACTCTACATTCGGTACAGTATTGGATACCACTGGATATTTTTAGCATCGCACTTCATTTAAAGGCCAAGCAAGATAAATATATTTTTTTTTACAAGTTTAACTTTGGTTTTCCTCATTGCACCATTATGTCGTAATGGAAGACAAGGTTAAGATTACAAAAAATAATAGAGATAGAGCGAAAGCTGCTCTTACCAGAATCTCAAATTCCATTATTAACGATGATCAGTTATTCGAAAAATACAATTTGATGAATAAACATAAAAAATTGAAAGTATTTATTCTAATTTTGACAAGGCAGACGCAGAACTTCCGACGGATAGTTCTGAAATGGAAGAATTTCAGAAACAATATTATGAAACCAAGGCCAAACTACAACAAGAACTTGAGAAATTAAATGTTACTGTTAATATGCTAGCTACTATTCGCGTTAATGAACATCAAACACCAGTTTCTAGTACTACAAATACTGATAATAATGAAAGCTGACAACGAAACATGTAAACAATGGTCTGAATTTTCAGCAAAAGTGGAATTTTCTACTTTTGAAATGTTTATTCAATTTATAAATGATAGATGTTCCTCATTAGAAATTTCCCACGAGAAAGAATAGAAGAAAACTCAACTTATTGTTAAAAGGTTTTTCTGCTAACAAAATTATCAAATGTATTATGTGTAAATTAGATTGCTTTCATTTCAAATGACACAAATTTACAACATTTACTGTCAAAGAAAGAAACCAATTTGTTAGGAAAAATAATCTCTGCTTAAATTGTTTTTCTAGTCAGCGCAAAAAATCTGAGCGTATGCCACCACATCGTTGTCATTATTGCCAGTTATTGCATCATAGTACTCTGTGTGAAAATCAATTAAAAAGGTATTCCACATCTGCGTCTCTTTCTGAGAGCAGTTTGCAGTCTGAACAGCAAAGAAAAAGTCCAACCGCGAATAAATACCAGACATTGCGTCTACGAATGAAAACAAAAACGTAAATGTGGCTGTAATTCAAAATAATAGCGTTCAAACAACTTTTGGCTTATTGCCAACTGCGTATGTAAATGTAATTGATTCGATGGGTCAAAAACCTGTAATATTAGAATGCTTTGTGATAGTGGTTCCGAAATCAACATTATTATCTGAATCTTGTTTTAATTTATTGGGATTTAAAAGAAAAATTGCGCGTTTTCCTGTCAAGGGTTTAGCTGAGTCAGAAGTCGCAGTTACAAAAGGTTGCATTGAAATTGAGTTGATGTCAATCCATGATACATCAGTGAGAATGCCAATTAAGGCATTTTGTATTAGATAAAACTAACTGCTGCGCGTTCCAAGCGAAAAAAATAAATGAGAAAGATTTTTTCGCATTTGAAAAATGTAAAGTTAGCTGATCCCATATTTTCACATTCCAGATAAGATAGATATTATTCTAGGATTTGACTACTTTTTTTTTCCATTTTACTTCACAAACAAATAAGTTGTTCTCAAAGTGATTTAATCGCTCAAAACTCAATTTTTGGTTTCCTCATATCCGGAAAACTACCGGAATCTCAAACGAAATCAAATTGAATTTCAAACTTGCATATTTATGAAATAAATATTGATAGCGAATTAAAACGGTTTTGAGAGTTAGAAGAAGTATCGAATTCAATGACACCTTCTCAGATAACACGTCCATGCATGCCTACGTCACAGAGTTATATAAACATCAAATGGTGCCTAGCCAACACGAAGTCACTTCCTTAAACCATTCTCCAAGCACTATACTAGGTCAAAGGTCTTCTACTCCGAATCAAAGCCAGTACATGAGTAACTCAGGTCAACAGCATAGAAGTGCTGTTCCCACTGGTAGTGCAGCAAGACTTCAGCAGCATCACCCTCCATTTTCTTCTAATCAAACGTACTCTGCTACGAAACCTTCTAAACCTGCAAATCCAGAATCTGTTACGCCACATTATTTACATTATGCAAATTTTCAACCGCATGTGCAAGCACCAATGAGTCCACAATATCGAAGTCCTTTCCCTGCGCAAGTGACTCATTCTCCGCAGCACTTCACTCCTACTCCTCCTCCTGAGGTTTTTGTGCCTCCAGCTCTTACGCCAGAGCAAGGTTTACAGCTACCTACTCCCCAATCTCAGGGAAGTTATTATAGCTCTAATACTACTCACTTAACAAGTCCAGGACAGGACCATTCTCCAGAGAATCCAAATGTTCCTTCCAGTTTCCACCATTTGGAACAAATGGTTTTACCTCGTGTGAACACAGGTCCTTCGACAACTCCTACAGCATCTGCTGTAGGTCCAAGTTGGCTTGGATTCGTCTCACTGGCCGAAAGCGGAATCCGCTTCCAAAGAAATCAAGGATCTAATTAAAGCTGCACAATGATCTGATCCTATATTTTCTAGTGCTACATCAAATGAATTATATAGTGATTTATTTGAAAGACATTCATCAGTTTCTAAGATTATACGCATTTTAGTAGTTTAAGATTCATCCATAAGTCCAAAACCAATAACAAATGTCAAACACTGATAACTGATTCCTTTTCTCCACTCACTTACACGGGAAACTAAAAATGCAGAAATAATCATAATTCGATGGGTTCAGAAAGATTATTTTTAATAATCTTTTTAATCTTTTGAATGAAGACCTAAAATGCATTAAAAATCAAAGATCGTTGCCTAAGAAAAGTCAGCTACACTCCCTCCATCCGTTTATAGATGAAAACAGTCTTTTACGGGTGGGAGGGCGTTTACAAATTTTCAGAATTGTCTTTTAATCAAAAGCACCCAGTGATTCTACCTGCTAAACACAAGATAAGTGAGCTCATCGTAAAAAAAAGCATGTGACTTATTTACATGCTGGTGCTTCATTACTGTCCCACATTATCAAACAATCATATTGGATCATAGGTGGAAAAAAGCTCATTAATAAATGTGTTCACAAATGCATCAAATGCTTCAAATTTAAAGCATCCACCACATCTCCAGCTTATGGGTAATCTACCTAAGCATCGTGTAACACTCGAGAGGCCTTTTTTTCAACTGCGGAGTGGACTATGCCGGCCCTATTTCAATCAAATTCAACACGGGTCGTGGAGCGCAATCAACCAAGGGTTACATTGCTCTATTTATTTCTCTCGCTACTAAGGCACTTCACATCTAGGCAGTCAGCGATTTAACGGCAGATGCATGCTTAGCTCCTTTGCGTCGCTTCAGTGCTAGACGAGGAGCTCCAAGTGACATCGAAAGCTCAGCGAAATACAGCGATTGTGGTATTCACTTCCTAAGAACGAAGAATAGGCACTTCATACTTCCATCATCTCCTCATTTCGGAGGAATTTGGGAGGTCGTAATTAAATCAACCAAATATCACTGTAAAAGAGTAATCGGTGAAACTCTACTTACTTTCGAAGACATGACAACTCTATGGCTCAGATAGAAGCCATTTTAAATTCTCGTTCGTTATGTAGTGTAAACAATACTGACATTGATTGCATTAATATTCTCACTCCTTCCTTCACATTTTCTTACAGGAGACGTGATCCTATCCCCTCCTGAACTACCTCTTACTAGTCCTGCCAATATACGGAATAGGTGGGATCTCCTTCAAAAGATGCGGAAGGACTTCTGCAAATCATGGACCAAAGCATAGCTATCTTCTCTTCAAACCAGAAAGAAATGGAAGGACACTCAGCCGAATATGAAAATTGGAGACATCGTCCTGTGATGGTCATCTTCCAGGTTCTTGGCCACTAGGACAAGTGGTCGAACTTCATCATGGTGCAGACGGACTGGTTCATGTAGCCACGGTTAAAACAAAAACCTCTATTTTTAAAAGAAAAATTCATAAATTACCCCTTAGCCCATATATCAGGACTAATGCCTGATAGGTTGGAAGTATGTTCCGGTGCCAAAGAACATTAGAACATTACTATGCCAAAGAACATTGATTCAGTTGAACAGTCGTACTCAGAAGATTACATTCGCAAGACAGCTGGAAAGCTGTCTATTTTTCATTATTTTTGTTCTGTTCTCGCATTTACAAGTTCTCGCATTTTCTTGTCTATACTTATATATTGTGCAATTACTTTAATATAAGTTCTGTGTTTTAAAAAGAGGATGTGTATCCAATTCATTCACAGTACATCGCAACAAACACGTTTAGAGTTTTCGAAAAAATTCTGTAAATACGCTGGAACAATCAGATACGCAGCCTTCAGAATATCAGGCTATAACGTGAAAACAGCTTCACCGCACAGCACAAGAATACAGCTCCCGACTCTGCTCGGCCGTTCTCGGAACTCTACGTAATCTCGAGACTTTCCACGCTCCAACTCGCGATGCACCCACGATAAACTAATTTAAAGTACAGCTCCCGAATCGGTTCGGTCTTTCTCGCAGCTCAACATACTCTAAGGTAAAACTCGACGATGCACTAACTTGCAATACACTAAGAGACTCTATCGAAGCACTCGACCACAAACTCGGCACTAGATTACGAGAAACTCACTCACTGACTATTAACTGACTCGATTAGGCACTCGTAACTGACTGGCAATCAACTTGCTAGACGAGACACTGACTGACTCTCCGCGTACCAGCAGGGTTTATATAGCTTTTGACTTGGGTTCGAGGACATTCTGGGTTAAACCAGTAAGAATTCGTTCCAGAAGGTTCTTCGTGCGTCTGTACCATATCGCCAGTTTTGCTGCCAAATAGGCGATTTCGCGTCAAATAGGGCAAATCTGCCTACCCTTGCCCTTTGCTGACAACCCTAAATCCGCTTTGAGCGGAAGCTACCTTAACGCCGCTGGACATTTCGTAACAATACATAGACTCGTCCAAAAGAGGCGTTATTACTTGTGGAATTGTTAGCGGTCACGTGAATGTCTTCTCTGGAAAGAAAGAATTTATATGCTTTTGAGGGAAAGAAAGTCCCCGTCTTTCTACCTGACTCTGAGAATAATTTGGTCCGAATGGCGCATGCGTATTTGCGTTCGTAGTCGCGGATGAGGCAATTGAACTATACTACTGAACAAATGTTTTTATATAATTGAAAATTAATTTATAAAATGGTTAACTAGAGGATCTGATTTATTAGAATTATAAGACTGGATAATTATTTATTATGAAATAAAATGATTAATTAATAAATTACTTACTAAAATTTCATAAATGCAGCAACAATACAGCAGGTTCAATGTTCCATCTTACTTTCTTCGGGAACATGCAACGACCTGACTCGGAACAGAAAGCTTACTAAAGCTATGTTCAATAACTGTGGGAAGTAGACAGGATACAAGAAAAAACAAGAAGGGTATACAAAACCCTTTATTTTTCTCTATTTACAATAACTTCCGTACTTCGGAATACAAAGACCAATTACTTGCGGTCTAAACGTAAAAATATAAAAATAAAACTAAACTCTAATTTAACTTTAATAACCGTGGAAGATTGGCCTTATATTAACAGGAAGCCGTATGTAGTACAGAGAACTGTGAACACTACAATACGTTTAAAGTTATCAAGAGGATTAAACCTCTGGCCTGGAAGGCAACCAGCAACTGAGTAAAACTTCTAAGGTAAGCGGCCTGCTTCGACTAACTCCTTCCTCTCTCTCGCTTGGCAAAAAGCCACAACTTAAGTACTTGGCGTTCGCCAGACAAACTTTGCATAAATAAGTTAACGCTTATTAATTCTGGCCGGAAGTAGAAAATAAAAGAAGAAGTGATAGTAAAGATTTAAAATAAAATAAACGTTAGTAAAACTTAAGATCCTTACATACTTCCCGCCAGAGTTAATTAGTTTGAAACTGAGGTCTAAAACGACCTTGTTGAAAACTTTTAGCTCTCTAGAATCTAACGCGAGGCCAATCTTTTACAAACATTTTTCGCTAGAAACTAGAAATTTAAAAGAAAAAAGAAAATTTTTGTTTTTACAATAGCAGCTCCCAGGACACGCAATTTTTCATCTGTACTGCATCTAAACAGGAGCTTTTTTTTTCAAATCTGGTTCCTTCCAGAGATCTGGAAGGAAAACTAGTTTAATGAAATGTTACACAATGAAATGGCAAGTAACATGCATAATTTATATTTCTCTTAACATTCTTATTTCATTCATGACTATTTTAATTATCTCTCCCCGTGCTCTCTGACATGTGTTGTAAAAGAACACCAAACACGAATGTGTTTATGTCTACGTGTTCAACACTTCCTCCTACAATCAAAACACTAACGTGTTAAAAATTCAACATACCAAGACCTCGTAACACACCCTAACTTCAACTCTAAACCCTGAGGTACTATTCTGAAAGTGGCTAACTCTGAAGTGTAGCGTCAGAGAGCCTAACTACATTCATTCAACCTTTAACACATATTCACCATGATTTGGTCTTTTTACAGTCACACGAATAAAAAAATTTTTTTAACATTACTTTCACTTTCACTTTTACCATATCACGGTATTTCTTAACATTTAAAATAACAGTTCACATTGTATATAAGAACATATTAACATGCCGTTAATTTTACGCATTTGAAAACATACATTAGTAGTACATTGTTAACTTCTATTCTTTTCAAAGCAAGTGCCAATTCTTTCTACATTGAAATACTACTACTACATTTCAAAAAGTCTTTCAGACTAAAACTTCTTTCTTGCCAGAAGTTTTTTAAATAAAATTTATACAATAACTTTTACAATATTTAAGTCTTTACACATTGCCTATTATACATCAACTTTAGTTTTTACGCGCGAGTAATTGAAAAACATAATACCAAAACCAAAATCGGTAACAACTCATTTCTCGCCCTTTTGGCGATAAAGGTAGACCTCGCATGAGGTAAAAAACTTCTTGAAATCTGCCACTTGCAGTAAGAATGAAAGATTAACTTAAGTTTGCAAAGTAACATAAAATTTATACTTATCTTTGTGATATTCGGACATTCTTTTCTGAGCCCAGTCCTTGGAAAGTAGCGCAGATTCTTTTTGATTTATCCTCCTTCTTGTGCGGGCTCGCCCTTCAGTGCCTTCCTCTAGAAGCTTTCTTTTTTTTTTCCAGTTCGGTCACCCTTGAATACCTTCTTTTTCGCCTCTGCCTGTGGTCTTGGCCGTTTGATGGCAGCTGGTCTTGGCGGAACCGGGAAACTTCTTTCGTGTTCCTGCTTGGACCTCGTTGCTGGCCGTTCAAATTTTCCTTGTAACTTTTCCTCCGCCGCTGGTGCCCTTCCGCAGTTCGTTCGGCGACATTTGCTGCGGAGAGTCCTGTCGGATGAGTAGATCTTCCGTTTTAGAGCCGGGTTATAGTTGCCGTCATTTCTCCTGGCTCTCTTTGCATACGTCGTCCTTCTCCCTTCTTCATTCTGGGGGTG